GCGCCGCCGCGCCGCCGCGCCGCGCCCGAGCGCTGCCCGCCGTCTGTCCCTCAGGTGATCCCCAAGTTCGTGCGGCGGCTCGTCAACGGACTGCCGGCGGCTCGGCCGCGGCGGCGCTCGGCACCCGCCGCACGGTTCTGCTCACGCCCGCCCCGTCCGAGCAGGTTTGCATCCACGGAGACGGCTCAAACTCGAGACACTTCATCTTTGTGACGGACGTCGCGAACGCGTTCGACACGATCATGCACAAGGGCGTGGACGGCGAGGTGTACAATATCGGCTGCGACGACGAGTTCACCAACCTCGAGGCTGCGGGCGACGCGCACGCAGCAGGCCCCGCGACGCGCCCGCGCGACGCCCGCCGCGCGCCGCCCTGTAGGTTGCGAAGAAGCTCGTGCAGGCGGTCACGCCCGGCATCAGCGACGAGGAGGTTGCCGCGCAGATCACGCACGTGGAGGACCGCGCCTTCAACGACGTGCGCTACTACATCGACTCGAGCAAGCTGCAGGCGCTGGGCTGGAAGTGCCAGGTCAGCTTCGAGGAGGGGCTCAAGCGGTGCGTCGACTGGTACAAAGCCGTCGACAAGAACTGGTGGCCGATCGGGACAGACTCGGCGCTCGCCCCCCACCCCGTAAAGCCCAAGGACGCATCACCGTGTGAAGTCATCAAGGGCAACTGACAGCAGCAGCCAAAGCCACGTTGAGTCAGCGAGGGAAGTTCTGATATGTACTGCATGAGTATGAATCGAATAAGTGTGTACTGTTGTACCTCAAGGTACGAGATTTGTACATGGCGCTCTTGTTTGGGGCTCTTGGGCGCAGCAGCTCACAGCCCTATTTTTGGAGCACTTGCCACTTGGTCTTGGATATTTTTGGTCGCGAAGTTTTTTTGGTGCTAAAAATGCGCATTTTTTATTTTCCGTTTTCGTCGAGCGGCCGCACATTGCTCGGTACCCCCCCCCCCCCCTGCACTTCTGACCCCCCCAGCAGCAGAGCGCTGCTGGGGGGGGCGACCTCCCCCCAGCAGCAGAGAGCGCACTGGACCCAGCTCCCGCCTCCCGCCGCCCCCCCGCTCCCGCCCCCTCGGCTCGTGTTTGAGCGGTACGCTCTCGAGGCGGTTGTGTTCACCGCGCCTTCGAGGCAGCCCAATACACCTTCGTCGTGTCGAGTGCTGGCGTTTTACTAAAAAGACTTGTGACCATGGTGAGTCTATCTTGTACTACCACACATAGGCGCGTATAGTGAGCCACTCACTCGGGCGTCTCGCTGACGTTGATCGATCAGCGCTGATCTCCCTAGCCTATCGCCCACCCGCTCGATCCTCGGATCGCTCGCTTGTCGCAAATCGATCGACTGAGCTGTCATCTCCGCGGCCTTTTCTTTTTTCGAAAACGCGCGCGCGCCCGTCGCGGCAAAACTGTCACGGTGGCTGTGCGGCAGCGCCAGCAAGCTCGACGATTGGTCCCTCTACAAGATGGGCTGGGTGCTGGAGCAGGTCGAGGCGGGCATGGAGCAGGTCGTGGCGGACCCGGCGCGGCTGCTCGACCCCGAGTTCGACATGTTTTCCGCCGTCGCCGAGGAGCTGCCCGCCTTCCGCGACTGGCGCGCCGAGCTGCTGGCGCGGCCGCTCAAGGGATGCGGCGACCACACCTTCGCCGACGTCCTGCGCGAGGCGCGCGTGCCGACGCCTGGCTCGGGCAACCAGCAGGCGACGCCCAAGGTGCTCGAGCTCGCCAAGCTCCAGGCGGAGGCGGCGCTCAAGAAGATGCACGACCCGAAGCTTGCGCTGGCTGACAAGCTCGAGTCCCAGGACGGCGTCAACGCGTGGAGCAAGAACGAGGACGCGCACCGGCGCACCATCGACGCGCACGTGACGAACGACGCGGTCGAGAACAAGTTCGCCATCGCCGACTACATCATGCGGTTCTACCGCAACATGAGCGTCTTCAACGTGTCCGGCGTGGTGCAGCAGCGCGCGGCGCACGACTACGACCGCCCGCTCGACGTCGTCAGCGACCGGCGCAAGCGTAAGGCGGAGCCGGCGGAGGCTCCGCCCGTCGGCTTCTTCTGGAGGTTGCGCGCCGATTTGCGCTCGTCGCTCGTCACGATGGCGCGGCGCAGGCTGCCGGACGCGCTCAAGGAGGGGCGAGCGGAGGTGCTGTCTCACGACCAGGAGAAGCTGCTGCGCCGCGAGGAGGCGGTGCAGCGGCAGCTCAACGCCGCGGTCGAGAGGTACGCCGCCGCGCTTGAGCTCTTCGACCAGTGGCGCGCGCAGGGCGTGAAGACCGCCGCCGAGCTCGAGCGGGCGCTGGGCGGCAAGTCCGAGCCCGAGCAGCTGGCGGAGCTGCGCCGCCAGATCGAGATGCGGACGGTCGGCTGCGGCATGACGCAGTTCGAGACCAAGTGGGGCTTCTTCTCCGACGAGCGCTCGCACAAGATCGAGGACCTCAAGCGCATGCTGCTCGACGACATCTTGCCCCACGAGATCCAGCTGCGGCGGCTCAAGAAGCTCCCGACCGAGGCGCGCCGCCCGCGCTCCGCTCTGAGATGAGCGCTTCCCCGTCTCACTCGACGTGTTGCTCCCCATAGGCGGCGCCTCCTCAGCTGCGGGTCCGCTCGATCAAGACCCTGGGCACCGCCGACGCGGACGTGCTGCGCCTGGAGCAGCAGAGCATCTTCAACGTCTCGAACCTCCTCGAGAAGGCGAAGGCCGCGCGGGAGCTGCGCGAGGCGGCGGGCATCTCAGACAGCGTCGAGGTGCGGCAGGACCGCGAGGCCCCCCCCTTCGACACGCGACTCGTGGGCAAGTGGCTCGAGGTGTGCTGGCCATACAAGAAGGAGGGTAGGACGGTCAAGATCTGGGCCGCCGGCAGGGTGAAGCGCGTCGCGGACGGCCTCACCGACAAGAGGAGCCCGCGCGCACGCAAGATCCTCCCGGCCGGCATGCTGCTCTGGGCGTGGGACGCCGACCCCGAGTACGACGAGCCGGCGGGGGAGAGGTGGATCGCCTTTCTTCCCGAGAAGTGGAACAGGCCCGTCTCATATGGGTGGCGGCTCGATCCCCGCGAGCTGGGCGCCACCGGCCCGCCCCGCACGCCGCTCATTGAAGAGGAGGAGGAGGAGGAGGCGCCGCGCGCGCGCCGGTGACCGAAATTTGTCTGTCTTGAGACGGGTGTGGGCCCTCGTGTGGTCGGTCCCTGGATGTAAGGGGCATGGCTATAGACTCCCCATAGTGTCCACAGTCAGTGCTGAGCTTGCCGGGCTTGTAGTGCGACTTTCAAAATTTACCATTTCCCCCACTTGCACTACCCGGCACGAAAGAGTCGGAGAGCGAGAGAAGAGAGCCAAATGCCAAAAATCGCGTAAATAAACATACAGACAGGACACACAGGACATAGGAAGCAGCTCCCGCACGCCGCAGCCTCGGAGGGCTCGGCGCACGCAACCCACATAGCCACGGACACATGGCATGGAAGAGGAGGCGAGCTCTGGCGAGGTACTTCCAGCCTGCTGTGGTTGTGTGGAAACAGCTCACGCAGAGGCTCTCCTGGGCCCGTGAGGCGTGGGAGTGCCTTGCCAAGGCGAGCTAGACGGCAGGAGCAGCCCAGAACGCTCGTCTACACGGGCTTAGGCGCTGCTCGCTGGCGCTAGACGGGCCTGTCCACCTCGACGAGAGGTGCTGCGCACAGTCGAGAGCCGCAGCGCTCGCGAGGAGCGGCACGCAGAAGGGGTGCTCGATCGTGGGCAGAGGGAACGTCAGCCGCCCACCCCCAAAGTGCAGCGGCAGCGGCGGGTGTAAGAAGCACCACAGCGAAGCCGGGGTTGGAGCCGGAGGGGCCCAGAGTACCGCATCAGCACAGAGCGCGAGTAGCAGCAGCAGGGCGACCGTGAGCCATTTTGGCGCGGGCGCGAGATGGCCGCTTCCCGACACGGCGACGACGCGCTGGCCAGCCAAAGCCTCGATCTTCTTCGGCAGCAGCTGTAGCTGCGTGTCGCCGTGGCCCAACCTGCCAAAGGCTCCGCGGCCCCAGCTCCAGACGGCACCGCTGACGGTGAGGGCGAGGCTGTGCTCCACTCCCGCCGAAATAGCGACGACACGCTGGCCTGCCAAGGCCGCAATCTTCGTCGGCTGCCACTGGTCCTGATCGTCGCCGTGGCCCAGCGCGCCCAAGTATCCCTGGCCCCAGCTCCAGACAGCGCCGCCGGCGGTGAGGGCGAGGCTGTGGTATGCTCCTGCCGACACGCTCACGGCGCGCTCACCACTCAGCGTCGACGGGAGCCGCGTCGGCGTGTTGAGCCGCCTCACGCCCTCGCCGTGGCCGAGTAGTCCTGGAAAGAAGGGCGGCGTATTGCCGCACGACGAGAGCCGCCCCTCGCCGACGATGAAGACGCTGTGATACTGGCCTGCCGCCGCCCTCGCCGGCGGGTTGGACTCGCACAGCAGCGCCGAATAGCACAGCCACCGCACGGCGCAGCCCTCACCCTCTGGCTGCGCCGGCAGCTCGAAGCCGCGCTCTTGCGCCCACAAGCGGATGGCCTCTAGCGCAAGCGAGGCGTGGGAGAGGAGCGAGACGGCCGCGACGCGACCGATGTCGGCGGGGTCACAGCGAGAGAAGGTGCGCACGAGGAGGTCCGTGGGGAGGTCGAGGAGGCGGGCGGGCGGCGGCGTGTCTGGAGAGGGAGCGGCGGTGGAGGCCAAGGCGAGGCGGCGCGAGCGGCGGCGCGGCGGGGTGGACATCGCGACGAAAAGAATTTTAAGGCGAACGAACAGAATTTGAGACATTCTGGGTTCAAAATGAAACGAATCGAGTGACTCTCCCTTGTGCCCCCATGCCGCGCGCAGTTCTCCTCCTGCTCCTGTCGCCGAGCAGCAGCGCTCTTCGCGTGGGCCCCGTGAGCTTCACCAACATCTTCTCTGACACCGCTCTTCGCGCGCAAACGCAGAGCGTGCGTTCGGCCCCCAGCACTCGTCTCGACACAGAGCGCGGTAGCACCGACCATCTCCTT